CAACTTCTAAAAAAAAAAAAAAAAAAAGAAAAGATTATTGTCTTAATATTACAGCAGTTTAAAAAGTACCAAAGGATTCTTGCCCAGCATCATTATGCTTCCCAAGGTAATTGGGTATCCAGACCAGTTTGGAAGGAAAGGAATCTTTTTCCTCTTAACCTGTGTGTGGGAGGGCTGTCATTAGCTCTTAAGCGAGGGACAGAAATTATACACAAACCTGTATAAATGATTGGAAACCAGTTTCCAATTCCAAGTGGGGGTGTTTGGTTGCACTTACTTAAATCTGTAACACAGCAGAAGTTCAGTGCACATAAACTGTTTTCAAAATGGCCAAAACTGGTTCAAGATGTGCTTGGATGGATGTAGGTTAAGATAAACCTGGATGGACTTTACTGATTTAGGTTCATTTAGCTTTTGTCTCAGATCCCCTCCAGATCCAGGTTAACTCAGTCTCCCAGCATTCCAGGATGCTTTGCGTCTCCCTCGCATACTGCCCCTCACAGGGTGGGCAAGCTAGCCTTGGCCCAAGCTGTCTGCTCCAGCCATAGGGAGACGTGCTCTAGCTTCTGACCTGATCCACTGCAGGCATGTGGTTGCATTTCCAGTATCAAAAGTGAATATCTGTTCACTTGCTTATTGGTTAAATCTATACAGCTTAGACTAACCTGTGAAGATTGAATTGGTTCAACCTTGGGCCTTTTGACTGTCTGTACTTATCCATAATGTTTTTGATCCTCTAGCCACATCTTGAATGAAACTGCATGACATACTCCCTTTATTCTGTTGGGCTGATCTAAAAGAAAGACTAGGTATGTGGTGGGATGCAAGCATACACTTCTCACCGCCTGTTGTTTTGGAAGTAGAATGATAAAGGAAAACTGCGTTAGTCTCTTTAACCATATTTCTCTACACTTGCTGGAATTGAATTTTCCTAAATTCATTTTTTTCCTACAAATTTTTCATTGACATTTGCTGAAAAACATTAGGTTTTATGAACGCTTTTTTGACAACCTTTTTACTTCTCAAATAGGAGAGGTAGTGTAGTTGAGAGAAAGGGAGCAGCTTGGTTTGGATTTTGAGGCATAGGCAGAATGAGACAGTGTGGTTGATAGGACAAAATAAATAGAACAGAACGCTGGTAGAACATTTAGAAAAGTAAGGGGCAGTGGAAAGAGGTTTTCCCTTTTTTTGCACGACATCACTGGTCATGGCATTTATACTGAAAGTATAATTAAACATAAAGTACGTAATAAGCTTTTGGTAGCTATTACCCTTCATATTTTCTTCCTTCCTCTTCAGGGCATCATTGCAGAGTATAACAAAATCAATGGCATCAAGGAGGATGATGACACAGAAAAGTTTAAGGAAGCCATAGTGAAGTTCCACAAGCTGTTTGGGATGCCTGATGAAGAGAAACTAGTGAATTATTATTCTTGCAGTTACTGGAAGGGGAAGGTACCCCGTCAGGGCTGGATGTATCTCAGCATTAACCACCTTTGCTTTTATTCTTTTCTCATGGGAAGAGAGGGTATGTATAACAATAAGACAGTCTGTGCACTCAAATGTTGGTCAGAAATCCGATACAGTTTTATTAATTTATTTGTTGAACATCAAGAACACTTTATGTATGCAAATACCTAAGTAACTATGGTCCTTGCCTGAAGGGAGTATAGCTACTCCCGAAATCATATTGGTATATTGTACTTCAGGATTCAGCATTGTTGTGATGGTTTTATTGTGTACAAATATGTCTACATAAAAAATCATATGACGGTGGCAGGATCTGCATAACAAGCTGCAGAGCCATGGGATAAATTGCATGTGCTGGGCTGCTCTGACTGCTTGGCTGACACTTCCCACAAATGCAACTACTTCTGAGCAGGTTCAACTGTCCTATGAATAATGCATGGTTTTCTGCATGTGACTTAGTAAAGTTAAAAGGATTCTCAGGTATTTGTGTTTGTGGATTCTCCTACAAAACTTAAGTTTTCTCTCAGACAAATAGAATAAGATACCATATACTAGTGACAGAAGAGCTCCTAAGGTGCATGTAAATATTACAATGAAGCACTGAAATAGTAAATACAGTAAAATCTCTGTTATCCGGAATCCCTGGCATAAGGGGATTACTGGTTATATAAAAATTCCAGTTATCTGAAAACCCCCACCTGCGGAGTGGCGGCAGTGCAAGGTGGTGGGTGGCAGCTGCTGCGTACAAACTTTCCCCCACCCGCTTCCCTCTGTGTCCGGCCAGAAGTTCCAGTTAATGGAGTTAAATGCCCGTTAGCAGAGATTTTACTGTAACAGACATAACTAATGTCATCTTACCAATTGCTTCCATAAACACTTGTAGCTGTCTAGAATAGGGATTGGCAAGGTTTTACAGTTCAGAGGGGAAGGGGAATTAACAGAGTTTCTTCAACTCCAAGCATGGGTTGCTTTCAACCCAGCCAGAGCAGAAGCTGGAACCGCTGCTTCTCCCCCACCTCCCTCACCCCTCCATAGTGCTACTTTTGCTTCCTTCTGATACCCGAGTGAAGCTTCCCCACTACTGAAACACTGAAGAAGCTCACTTTCTCTATGGGCTGGATAAAATGGCTTCAAAGGCCAGATCCAGCCTGTGGGTCATAGGTTGTCAATACTGAATTATGGGATTAAAAACATTCAGGGATGTGAAATCCATCTGGCTTCCATTAGCATCTTCAGGTAGATCATTTAATTCTTATCTTATTTATGTTATGTTGAAGGGACATTAAACCAGAGTTAAAGTAAGGGCTTTCATATGCTTTTTAAAAATTGTGCATCTGTTAATTGACTTCCTTGGGGCCCACTGGCTGTGCTGAGGTGGCATTCCTTGCCCTCCAAACTGGGGTTGGATATCAGACTTCTGGGTAGACATTTTGGGAAAGAAAAAAGGTAGATGTGTTCTACATGCCATTTCATTGTGGCAGTGCATATGCATGTAGCATTTCTCATCTAAATAATGTATCCTTAATTATATACTCATAGTTGCCTGAGATGGCAAGGAAACCAAATGTATGTTTTCTCTCTTCCCTACTGAGTCTACTCTGATAGCTCTGCCTCACAGTTTTCTAGGTTGTCAACAAATTGTAATCTAAATACGTGATGTGTAAAATATCAAATTGGAGAGCTGCTTTTCTGTCAGCCTGCAGATAACTTGTTTCTGTGCTGAATCTTGTCTGTTTTCTTGTGTTTAGCAAAGTTGGTAATCCGCTGGGTGGATATCACCCAACTTGAGAAGAATGCTACACTGCTTTTTCCAGACCTAATCAAAGTGAGTACAAGGTCAAGCGAACACTTCTTCTCTGTGTTCCTTAACATCAGTGAAACATTCAAACTAATGGAGCAGCTTGCCAACATAGCTATGAGGCAGCTTTTGGATAATGAAGGCTTTGAACAAGATCGATCGCTGCCGAAACTAAAAAAGAAATCACCCAAAAAAGTATCAGCACTGAAACGGTAGGTTTAATCAAGAGATCCTCTTATGCTTTTACTTCCAGATTTGGTATAGAAATTTCCTGACAATATTCTTAATTTTTTTTTAAATTAAAGAGGCATTACTGTTCTTTAGTGGTAGTGAAAAGCAAAGAATGATTTATACATAACAATTTGGCTTATCACTGAAATAAGTATGGAGAAATCTGCCTAGATTGCAGCAGTTTAAGGAAAAGCTCGCAAAAGTTTACGAAAGTCTCCACTAGGATCAGTGTTGCGTGTGGTATCTTCTTGGTCATCTACAGAAAAAAAAATGGATCCATGGGGTGGGGGAAGTGTGCAGAAAATAAAAGTAAATCAAGAATGTAAATGATTGAAAGGGGCTTCTAAGGTAACTAATAGACCTAGATGAATTAAGAGCACAATAGTACTTTTTTACACAATGTATAGTTATCTTGTAGAAGTCACTGCTACAGGAGGTGGTTAGAGTCAGATAGCATAGCGAGGTTCAAAAAGGGAGTAGATAAATTCATGGGTGATTTGTGGCTGAATGGTTGGAAATGTTTCCTCTGGCATATTCAAACCTATACTGGTGGATGCTAGGGAGGGTATAGAATAGAGGATGGATTGCTCTAGAGAGATTCAGTTCAATGCTCTCTGCAGCATCCACTTCTGCTGCTGTTGGAGATGGGATATTGGGGTAGGTGGACCATTGGTCTGATGCAGTTTGTTCTTACAACAGCTGATGAAGCTGGGCAGATTCTTACTTACACCAAGGCCCCTTTATGTAGCTCTGCTAATTTTTAAAGGGGCATTCCATTGTAGTTGTTCCCATCTTATTCAGATAAACTCCTTTTACTTGCTGAGGTTTTAATATAAAAAGGGCATTAAACCCATTTGTGAATACTTTGTCCTATTTTAATGGCATTGAAAAGTGGTTATGGGTAGTTTTTGTTGCAATTCCATAGCTTCATATAAAATGCAGCCAAATGCTATCCATAAAATGTTTCCATTTCTCTCTCAGTAGTGGTATTATACCATAGCTGAACTGTTTCCTGTTAATTTTTTTTAAATTTACAGTGGCGTAGCATATGCTGCGGTTGCATTTTTTTCTAACTAAATGACAGTTCATATCACTTGCATAGGAAGACTACACATGTGAAATGTATTTTCATGTGTACTGGTATCTTTAAAACACTGTTTTTAGGGATCTTGATGCTAGAGCAAAGAGTGAGAGATATCGTGCACTGTTTCGACTTCCCAAGGATGAGAAGCTAGATGGACACACAGATTGTACCCTGTGGACTCCATTTAACAAAATGCACATTTTGGGTCAAATGTTTGTTTCTACAAATTACATCTGCTTTACCAGTAAAGAGGAGAATTTGTGCAGCCTCATTATCCCTCTCCGGGAGGTAAGTGTGACATTTGAAGTTCTCCAGAGTAGGGGTGTAATTTTGTTTCCTAGAAGTAGACAATGTCCTAGCCTTAATTTGCATTCATTCAGGAAGGCCCTTTAAACTGTTTGTTATTCTACAGACATGTTACTGTAATTGGGTCAACAAAGGAGCACCCATTAAATAGCATCTTAGTTTTAGATTCATGCCACTTCAATATGTGGAGTGTCTTCATTGCCCACTCCTTATAGCCCTTGGGATTCCTCCATCCTTCATCCTTGTGGCTCAGTGTACTCCAGGCAAGCTTCTGAGGGAAAGGCTTTTTAGAGCTGTCATAGTAACATTTGTCAGTGTTATATGTAAAGTTAAATACTTGTAATGCTTAATGGTGAATTGATTAAATGACAGCTTTGCTGTTGTGGGGGTGAACAGATTTCAGCTATGCATTATTAATAACTGTCAAAATGTTGTGTTTTCCTCTCTCCAGAAATTGCTGCGCTATTTTTCAGTTTTTAAATCTAGTTGGATATCATTTAAATCCTACATCAAAACACCAGTTTTGGGAAGAGACTGCCAAAGAATCCCTCTGCTTGATAGATGCAGCATAAATATTTTAATACAAACTTAACATTTCCCTAGCATAAAAATGCTTTAAGTATATTATAATAAAAAATCTTTTAACGGTTTTGCAGTATGAAGTATTGCTTACAGATCTGCATGTATTTCAGGATGAGGAAGAAATGCTCGAACTAGGAGGCTTATTTTCCTGGGAATAACAACATAACTTGTGCATAGCCAGGGCCAAAACAGCTCTTTTGAAAAAATAATCTAGGCTGAGGCGCTGTTGGCTATTTCAAGATACTATTTTCTTTTTCACAAATCACTGAGGATCAAAACAAATGGTGTTCCATTGGAAATCCAGCTTCCTAACAGGGTCACCATGCTACTTTTAGCCTTGATGAGCTGAGATCAGACTGCAAATTCACATTGCTCTGTTAATAAAGAAGTCAAGAGGAACAGCAAAATGCCCAATTAAGTGTGAAGAAAGAAACAGACTGAACAGCTGCATAATGTGATATGGACTCATAACTGCTTTTGGCAGGAACAGCTGTGGCAACATGGGATTCCAGTGGCCGTCCAGACCTTGGGCAGCTGAGGGAGTATATACATGAAACTTGACAGATTTAATGGAAAGTTGAAACATGATGTTGGGTACTGACACTGAAAACATAAGGAATTCAGAACTTGCAAGGACTTGATTCAAAGCCCTAAGGAAGTTTTAGATCAGACCCTGAATTCTAATGCTTTGTGAGTTGCTAGATAGACACAAAGCATATCAGGACAGATAACTTCTGTTAAGTTTTAGTCCTGAAGTAAGGATCAGAGACAGAGGTCTGAGTCCCAGAATTCATCACAGCGGTCCCAGTCTCTAGCATAAGCACTTTTTACGTGCCTGCTGCACTTGAATGGAGAAGTGGTTGGTTTTCTGCTAGTGCTCAGTAAGAAGTGTCTGCTTCAGTCAACCCAACATCCTGGCTGTAACATCCAGTCTAACCTCATATTTTACTTGTGCTTCCTCTCTGAGCGCTCTCAGATGACTCTAAGTGGAACAGAAAAATAACATAGGAACATTTTTCCTTAGGTATTTTGAATATATTTTTAATGAGACTCTCCTACATTACTAAGAAGCAGGTGGATTTATAGTTAGTAGAAAAACAAAAGGAAGTTGGTTGAGAAGAAGAATGGGGCACTATCATTTAGAGATTGAAACGTGGATTGTGGTCTCTGAATGCGTCAGAGACATTAAACGAAGAACAAATGATTCTATCCTTTTAACTAATGAAACGTTAAGCTATTGAACTAATGTCTGATCATGAACCACCAGGATCCTTAAAGAAGGATCGTGGTAACTTGAAATGTGCTTTGTCTTATTCCGAAGTGCCTAATGCAATTTTTATTACCTAAAAGTTTCTGATAAAAGGTATAGAAGGAATGGTTGAAAGCACTTACAGATGTGCTGTATGCTTTGGAGATGAGGTCGTTCTGTGAACTTGATTGATTTTTTTTTTTTAATTGAATAATCAGTATTGCATAGACCATACTTCACATGTTTATTGCTAGTGTATAATTTAGCAGTTGAGGGAGGGGCATGCTGTATTTTAATTTATCTTTTAGAAACTTAGTGAAATATTGACCTGGACTTTATAGGTTTTGTTCTGAATACTATGTAAATAGTGGAGTTTGTCTATGCTAGTGAATACATGGCCAGCGATTTTGAAAGGCAAATAAAATCCTTACAAAGATAAAACAAAGCATGACTGCTTTCTAAACCTTGAAGCGATTTATTGGCAAGCGAGAAAGAGATGGGATATTGTTTCTTAGTAGTAGTTTCTTCATTTACATGGAATGAAGTCCTTGAGACTTCTGTCTGTATCTGGGGTAGACTGGGTATGTCGTTCAGTGACCTATTGTTTAAAATGATAAATTGTTTCTTAAACAGTTGTTTACTTCCTGTCAGCAGTAAATTAGTGTTTGGTTCTAAGACATGCTGATTCACTGTTCTAGGAAAAAAGTCTCTGCTACTGTGTACTGTCTGTATGTGGCCAGTTTAGCTAATTCTTGCCTTTAGACTCGGACTCTAAATGTTTTAGGGATGTTCTAGGGGATAAATCTGGTGTTCAACAAAGTTTGCAGTTTATAACAATTAGTATTTAAAAGCCACATTATGATTTTTTTTAACTACTTGGCGAGTCTGTGATCCTTTAAAGCCTTCTGACACATCTAGCAGTGAGGGGAAAAGTAGCACTTTAGGATAACAACCCACAGCTAGTTTCATAACTTTGGAAGTAGAAGGCTTTAGGAAACTCAGCACCTCCTCTGGAAAAATGATGGTTGCACTACACCCTTCCCCGCACCTTTTTTTTTAAATAAAACATGGTGCATGATGCAACAATTTAAGCATTATGTGATGTTTTGAAGATGACAAAGCTATTACACATGGACAGAGAGTTAAAGCTGAAAAAGCTGAGGCTTGGTGTGGATAAATAACAGTTTTTGTTTCCAGAGTTGCAGAACATTGTTTGGGTACAGATGTCAGTTATTAAACAAGGGGAGTATCCATTTTTAGCACTGTACAAGAACCTGCTGCATTATTGATTTTTAAAATGGTGTTCCCTGAAGGCTCTGCTATATGATGAAATGAAAACTGGATAGAAACCAGCTATAGGGTTGTTGCACACTTTCAAGCACTAATTTTACAGCTGGTTGGCTTTTTTTTATAGCTGGATAGTTATTTTTATCACGTGATAATCACTTTGAACATGTGGATGCTCTAAATTTTATTGCACGATTAATGCAGTTACTTGTGTAATATATGTAATGTGTAGAAGGGAGTCTAAGATTCACTTCTGAGACTGAAGCATAACAAGCTAACTGATGCTGAACCATGATCAGGGGTTATTGTTTCTCCCCAGGTGACAATAGTGGAAAAGGCAGACAGCTCCAGTGTATTACCTAGCCCATTGTCAATCAGCACTAAAAACAGAATGACGTTCCTTTTTGCCAACTTGAAAGATAGAGACTTTCTCGTACAGAGGATCTCTGACTTCTTGCAACAAACTACTTCAAAAATATATTCTGAAAGAGAAATTGCTGGAAGCTACGTCAGCTCAGATGAAGAGGTGCGTAGGACAGCATGATTCATTTACTGAAATGAAGGGAATTTTAAGTGTAGCTTTTGTCCATGTCTGAGCTATTTTTATTGATGATGGATATGAAATTTCTGGTGAAGACCAATGCCAATTAAAACTTAATTAAGTTCTATTTAAGTCAGCTTCATCTTGGGGTATTTGAAATATTACCATAGGGGCATCTTTTCCATATTAAATAGGCTAGGATAGGCATATTTCCCCACATTACAAGCTACCGAGTCCTTTCCTGTAGTTTAGTCTGCTCATGTGGTGGTAGGAGGTCAGACGTTCAAATAATGACTCTTTGCCGGCTTTTAAATAAGACCCTTAACTGATCATTGAATATCTACTGCCACTGCTGTTGAGTAGCTACTTAAATCACTGTTGCCATGTTCTAAAATTGCTGCACATCTTGAAACATGCAGTAAAAATGCACTTCACCTTGTCAGTTATAGATAAATTCTATGGTTTCTCAGGCAGGCAAGGTTATTTGGTTAGATGTGATATCTTTTATTAGACCAACTGAGTAGTTGGGGGGAAAAAGTTCTTGGCAAGGTTTTGAGTGTAGTCAGGCATTTTGAGAGTTTCTGGCTGTTACATAAAACTGTCAGCTTCTTCATATGATAAATCTGAAATGATACCTTT